CACAGACAACTCCGTGACAATATGCGTTTTGTACTGCTGTTACACAGCACAAAACGCATAAAAACGCTCACTTATCGACGCCCTCCTGATTTTCGATCTTTGCTATAATTTTGATGTGCCTTCCCTTCTCGCCAAGTACCTTCCTGATCGTGCGAATGCCGTCTCCATTACGTATGAATGATGCGAAAATTATATCCACTTCCTGAAAAATGATGATGCAGTGGACGGAAGATAAAGCCAGAACAATATTAAAGACTGAGGGCTGAACCGGACAGCGAACTGGTCCTCCGCTTTCTCTTCCACCAGTTCCCCCAACTGCGCAGATGGCTGAAGTTATAATAACTTCAGCTCCTGAATCCAGGTTATTATGTTCTACGATTTTCTAATCAAAACTGAAGACATGTCAATGTTCGTGATTTTCCCGCAAGTTTAAACGATTCTGTATATTCGATACAAAATTCAGGATGAAGATTCAAATAACCTGTTCGATGCCGAACTGCAGGTCCTTGATGTCTTTCTCAGAAATGGCAGGCAAATCAACCGGCGTTCCGGGCAAGTTGATACCCTTTCTGCTTCCCAGCATACCACCGTTCTCGATAGTGCATATTAGACTATCACCTTCTAAAGACTAATTAATATACTAGATAAAATAATATCTCGCACAATATGCTCCAAATTTTTGTATTTAAATGTATTATTACTGTTGTTTAAAAGCAGATATGAACCAGTGAAGAGAAATGGAAATGTAGTGAAGTGTAGGGACTAGAGGGAAAAAGAATGGAAGATAGTGAAGCTGAGATCATGTGCAGAGAACCTGGTTTTAAGTGAAAATGTGCAAAAATTCCCCAGTTTCCTCAATTATTAATTAATTTTAATCTAATACAGCAAGTATGCACCCGCAATAAAGCAAGGAGGCATTTGGACACTAGTCGACAGAGTATAAAATTGATCTTTGGATGTTTTAAGAAACCGATTCTAGTATTTCGGCAGCAAATTCGAAAATTCGAATTATATGTCTACCACGGCTTAAACAGCACCGAAAGCGGCAACACAAAGAAATGAGCATTTTACTCTTAAGGAAGCGCCAAAATTGTTTTAATGATGCGATAAATTAAAACGCAGAATGCCAAATTTAGTCGGAAACGAGGAAAATTTTCCCAAAGACAAGGCTAGCTAAGGAGGCAAGGGACACTAGCCACGTCCAGGAACGTTGACGTTAGGTATTAAAAGCACATAACGATGGAAACGGGAAAACTTTGTTCGACTGCACCAAATTTAACAAACCTTCGGGGATCTACCCCTACAGTATACTTAATATCATGGAATATCCGTGAACTATAATTTGAGTGAAGAGAAATGAAGCCACAGACTCTGGATGTTTTGCTTATTTCAACGCAAACTACAAGCGGATACAAAATTTCAAAATCGAAACTAGCGCACCGATGGAATTAACTATGAGAGACATAAGGCCATCGTCGATGAAAATCCGCGAACCGACACTTAGCACCTTCGTGATATTCTTGTAATCGACGAAAACGGTCTGCGCATTCCCGGAACTTTCCATTGATGGATCAGTGGTGAGCCGAATTTGATTTCCTTTCACCAACTCTACTTCTGCGCTTCCACCCTGCAACACAATTTTTTTTTATAAAAAAAAGGTGTTTCTATTTTTTTTTTTCAAAAGTTGCATAGTTCAACTAAAATAATGGATAATTCAATTTTGCAGGAGGGTCCGTGGGGTTCCTGAAGAAGATTACGAAAGGCTGTATCCTTCGTCAGCGAGCTGCATATAAAATACATCTCGAGTTATATAGTCCGCTGCATACTGGTACCATTGTGTCTGCGATTTACGGCAATCCCAATAACAATAGGCTCAATAATGAAAATAATGATTTCGAAATCATTAATTATTTATCATAATAGTGGGAAATAAGCAAGCGCATTCTAGAAAAAACATTTACATTTCTCTGCAAGACATAAAAAGAAGCGCAATACAAACCCCTTCCAGAAGGCCGGTACGTATTTCGGGACCTTTTGTGTCCAGAGCAATGGCGATCAGTCGCGGCTCACTGAAACTCAATGCTGCTGCTCGTACGTTCGCTATTGTTTCCGCGTGATACTGAAAAATTTCAAAATTCGCATGAGTCAAAAATTCTCAATGAAAGCGCAAAAATTTGGTAGAATTCTCGCTTTATAATGCAACTGTGAATTCGTTCTGGGCTGTAAATGATGGCTTTTGCATTCCCAGTGGCAATCGAGCCTGCGAACCATTGTTTTACTGTGGTGAAAAAGGTGCATCCGGGGACATGGAGTCGTGAGAGGGGATCTAGAATAAAAGGATGGTGTATGGCTGTGGATGAGAAATTGATGCTGCGCTATGCAAGCAACCCATAAATTAAATCGAACAGTCAGAAATTTTGGCTGTCGACTTATTGAAAAAAAGCGGAGAAAAAGGGCAACAAAAGCCGAAGTGCGTTCGTTTTCTTTTCAGAGTGAAATTCACAGTCACACTGACCTCATGTGAACCATGACTGAAATTCATGCGCGCAATGTTTAGTCCATTGATAATCATTTCCTGCAGCTTTTCCACCGCTCGACATGCTGGCCCTGAAATAAAGCTATTCTCAGACTGCGGGCTTGCAACATGACAAGTAAGCAAGCAACCCGCTTCTAAGCCCTCTCCTCAGCCCTTGTCGCTCGCATCTTCGCGACAGTGATCTTCCGCAGCAACTTCAAATGATCTTTTCTCAATTGCGCAGCACATTATTCTTACATTTTGTCGATTATTCTAACTAAAGAGCGCGCCACACTCATCGTCCCACTTCCCTCGAATGAAAAAATATCTCAGCTGAGCGCAGCAATAGTAAAATGCAAGCAATATTATTGATGCTTACCGATTGTGCAGATTATTCCAGTTTTCCGGACCAGACGTGGCTCCTCCCGGATGTCCAATTTGCACAAGTGCTCCAAGTTTGTGCTTTCGGGCAACGGCGATAGTTTCTGTTCCTGTCTAAATGCACATCATCCAGTCAGTTAATATGTAAGCTAAGCTGTAGGAATCTATTTTATTAAGAAATTCACAAAAAAATTCACTGAATTTATTTGTTATTAAGAAAATTTCATCTCAGAATCCCATACCTCATTTTTCATACATAATTCTTAGTCTCAAACCTCCTTTCTTTATTCTCAATTTTTCTGATGTTTCTTCGATTCTCCGCTCGTTTTTAAATGCATTTTTATAAAGGCAAACACATCCCTGTTTGCTTGTTGGCAATATTCCTGATAACTCATTTTTTTAAGAAATGCAGTCTGGGAACAGTCCTGTAAGCTAAACAGGCTATGCTGATAATGAAACTCATCAGCGAGTGGTACTGTTTGTTTCAGAGATCTACAGTGTTACGATCTGCGGTTGCCTCTGATCAAAGCTATGTAAAAAAATATGAAGAATTATCACACCTAGCTTGTCACTTCTTGTTTCCCCCACTTTTATTTGAGAACTTTCCAGAAGCAAAGTGGAAAAAGTTCCCTGCAACGAATTAAAATTCCATTTTACTATCACTCTGCGAAATCAAAGAGCAAAAATAAAGCGGCGATGATTATGTAAATGCGCAATAGCAGTACATTAACTGCAACTCATTTGAGGGAGAAACGCTTTTTAATGCAGAGTAGAACTAGGATTTGAAGTTCCTACAATAATTACAAAATAGATTGTTCAAGTACCATCAGTTGATGGTACTTGAACAGTCTGTCGCTGCATATTTTGAAAATCAATTGGTGAGACCTTTTCAGATACACAGAGATTTTACTTCAGAAATATGGCATTTTAAAAAAGCTATTGAAATTTTTAGTTTAATTTGTAGCCCTTTACAGCCTTCACGCGCAATTGCTCTACCCTCCCACTTCTTCCCTACGAACAAGTCGACTTGTAACTAAATTTGTGATCGATACGCACAGGCTAAATTCTGCAATGGCTTTAAAATTGTGAAACGAGATGGGCTTCTTTGGACGTGTTATACTTAAATGCCAATATCACCTGAAACTCGAATGCAAATGTCAGTCTTCCTTGTCGCATCCGATTCCGGCTTGTCTTTTCACTCACTCGTACCTCCTTCTCCGTGAGTAACGTAGAAGTTGAGAACTTGAATTTGGAAAACAACTCCTCGCTAGCCTCTTTGCCGTTCCTCTCCTCTTCCGTTCAGCGATATCCGAATTCACTATTCACGTTACGCAGTGCTTTCAGTCATTATTACTTAAGAATGTAAAACAGTGGAATAAGTGGCTCAGCTGCTATGGCAACACTCATATTCAATGCTAGCAAAAAACATTTCCAGAACATAAAAAAATAATTGAATTTTTTGAGTAAATGAGCACTGGTGCTGTACCTATGACAAGATGATTTCACTCATGCTCCCAGAGGAACCAGAGCTGTGACACGCCGCCATCAGGTCTACAGTCCCGATGATTCGAAAAGGTAGTCCCTCTAAAAATCGACCCACGGAGGGATGCATTTCGAAATTTGAGAAACCTGCTCTGAAATTTCTTTTTGCTTTTCCCTTCGTAGAGCATGACAACAAAATGCACTTGCGAAATCATTCCACGCAATTCATTGCAAAAGCCAGAATGTTACTAGCTAATACTGCGGAAAGGTTGTAGGGCGGGTATAGAGGGGAGGAAGGGTGGGGGAAGGGAGAAGGGGATGGGTTTGTGGGTCCGGGCAGAGAGGGATGAGGAAAGGTTTCAAGAGTAAGCAAACGATAATCGCTAATCGATTTTAAATATTTACTTGAAATACTCAGTTTGTCGATACCTCAACCCTATTTTCACATACGTACCAATCGGTTCCCGATCTGATGTACTTTTTCTATTAAATTCAGTACCTAAATTAATGTCCTTTGAGTTGATTTGGTGAACTTCGCTTCCCCTTTGTAGTTTAGCTGACAAATTTGGCGCTTTCTAGTCGTCTATTCCCTCTTTTCCTTCATCCTTCCTTCCCCTCATTCTGGTAATCTGCTTCAAAGGGTTACATTTGATTTGTAGGCTTAATAAAATATGATCGAATTTCAAGGATTTAAAATTCCATCATAAAATATAATGCCTCCAACGTCATGTCCCGTGCGATCACAGATCAAAAACCTCTGTTATCAATAAGTCAGAATTTGTTAGTATCGCATATATACCATCAGAAAATTTTGGAAAAGTAAGCGAGAGATGCGTAAAAAACTGTCACTGGCCTAAGGCCGGTTTTGCTAACGGTCACTTTCGACTGGTTTGGTAATATAGCTAGTTGTGCGCATTCATCTGATCCCAATATGACACATTTTAATAGTACGATACGAATTATTCATGAATCATTTTGTATCGGGTTACAGTATCCTTTGAAGGTGATCAAGTTTTATAGAATACACTAATCGGCATACAGTACGCTCAACAGTTGGACTGAGCTGGAAAATATGTACAACCAGATGAGAGCGATACACACTGCTTCTCGTGCCTACATCCTGCGCAACTGAGCCTGGCACATCGCTCACAACTGATTTTAGCTCAGTGGCACTAACTTCCAGCAGATGCAGATGAGATGCTGCAGTTTTAAATTAGAAGAGAAATCTGAGTAAGTTGTAACTCACGCATAAATGTAGTGATCGTAGTTGTTGACACCATTACTGGCGACCTTTATCGGGCGCTGCTTATCTTTGTTTCGAGATTGTGGTGGCCGCATCCTTACTTGCTACAAATTATCACTGACTAATGGTTCTACTCAATACAGAATTACGCGAACGAACAGGAGAAAATACGTTCGTCCCTCCGGATGTATGCTGTGCTTAGCTACAAACGTCCCGGAAATTACACCCAGGAAGTGACGGAAGAATTGCGTAGTGCGGAACGAGCAGACACCCCTTTCTTAAGAAATGGAACGAGCAGATGAGATTGCGGTGAGGAACGGGACGAGTGAGGAGCGGGAGGGACAGCAAATGACGAAACTTCCAGACAGCGGCCAGACCCTAGCACGACTCATTCACATTTTTATGTGAAAATAAATCTATTGATGACGGCGGTTCCAGTGGGCAGTGCTGTCTGTGCTTATGTCTGCTCGGGCGGACAGATGGTGGTGGCTCGAGCCGCACTGCCATCCGGATGCCCCCGGATTGCAGTGGTCATCCGGATGACTCGTATTTCAGCTCTCAGTTCTATTTACTGTTCAGCATAGGCGCTTATTTCAAAATTATGGTGTTTCAATTCAACACGAAGTGGAGGGAAGGGAGATCCTAGCGAGAATTTAACTGATGAGCAGGATGGGTGCGCCTTCGGTGGAAAGTATCGTGACTCTACCAGTTAATATTCTTAGACTGGTCTTATGCCCTGTTTGTAGGAGTGTTATGTGTGTGTACGACGTCGCGTCCTATTTACATATTTATTAATAAATAGTATGTTAAAAAGATAGTGCAAAAAAGGTGGTGAGTTTCTGGGGGATCGAAGCTCTCCAGAACAGGAGTGGTAGTTAAAAATAGGTCGCAGTGGTGGATGGGTAGTGGCGGTCCCGTCATGGGGAAGAGTGCTTTTATACTCCCGGTGACAAAGATCGAAAGTTCAATGAGGGTAGGGTGGCCAAAGTTTGAATTAGGGACAAGGGTATTGCGTCACAGTAACGCAATTGTTCTTTAACCTACTTTTAACAAAAACCATTTATCATTATTTGATCTATTATACGACAAGAGGAACACTTGATCACAGGCGCGGTATGGAACACTTAATCACAGGCGCAATCCACCTGGACATGCGCCCATAATAGTGTCACTGACAGCCACTGGAGTACAAATGGTCAGCAGATGGCCATTAGTGCATAGACGATCGGTAGTTAAACGAATTAGAGATCGGACGGTATAGGCATAAGAGTCGGCGAAAAATCAACACTTTTGACGATTTACTGCACCACTAATTATCGCAGTTTTTGGCAGTAGCAGCAGAAAACATGTATGAAATAACAGCAAGGGAAAAGCTTTGGTCACCGGCATCTTGCGCCTGAGAAAGCGACGAAAAGAAACTCAAGCGGGCAAACAATAGTGGTGATTCGGGACGGTGAACATATGCGGTGTGCATGCTTATAATAAATCTAACTCAGGCATCAGCAATATATAAACAGCTATTTTATTATTGCATGCCTGGCCACTGAAATTCACGAATTTTATTGCAAACATACAGTGGTGTATCAAAGGAGCCGGATGAAGACTTATTTTTATCTACGGATTTGATAAGCTGCGATATTACTATGCACAATGCACTGCAGCATGTGTGCCTCACGCATCACTGTAGCAATAGATGCGCCAAGTGGAAAGAGCATCCTAATAACATCACTGATAACAGATCCCCACACCGATTATCTGGATGGCTTCAACAGCCTCGCAGTAGTGAGGTGAGCTTACCGTGCATAAAATAATTCTAATCGCTAAATCGGACAGTTACTGGCAGTTACGTTCTTGGACATGGGAGGGAAAACGATCTTAGCTTCCCTTGCTTGGAACGCCAAATTTAGGGCGTACAGTTTGATCGAACTGTTGCAAGACCAAGCCAAACTGAGGCTGTGATGAGCAATGGAGTACAAAAGTGCACTAAGGAAATCCAGAGATATCTGGTTGGAATACTAAAACTGACTGGAAAAACTGGCTGGCAAAAACGGAACGGCGAGAGGGATTGAGGATTTCTTGCAGCTGAGCGAGCAAAGGGCTGAGTTCCGGGGCATCCCTTTCGTAATGCACCTCCGCCTATATATATTTCGAAATTTGTTGGTAATGGCGGAGGAGGGAAGAAGGTGTATCCAAGAAGCGATGACGCGGCTGAACTTGCAAGCCAGGAAAAGCTACGAGAGCAGCGCAAACATACTGGCCGGGGCGCACTGAGGCACATTCGATGTCATCTCCTCAGTGTGGTCTTCAAACTTTAAACTTTCACACGAAATTGGGGATTCCCTCATTTGCTATTTCACTACTGTTGCAGGAAAGACTAAAAGCCTCCACGCTTTGCTGGGCCCGATTTCGGAATGCCAAATGAAACATTCGACATAAAAAGTTTCGGAAATATTGATGCGTCATACTATTTAAGCCACAGCTTACGCAGTGCTCGCTGTTGGAGAGATTTTAAAAAAATGCACAACTGTTATCAGAGTACAAAAGCACGTTAAAATCACGTGTGAAATTTGTAATCTTCATGAAAATTCCATGATCGTCACAAAAATGCATGACCATAGTTCAACGATTGAATCGAAACAGCAACTTATGCTGAATTCTGTCGGAATTTTATTAGATCTGTATACAGTGAGGAACTTAGGTCTGTGTTAGAATTCGGAAACGCCACTAGTTATTCAACTCATTGATTACATTTTTTATGCGTTTCGATATTTGGCACTAACAGAAGTCTTCAGTTGACAGCGCAACTGCAATGGGGAAAATCCCTGCCAGTTTCTTAAAAGTGCAAGGATACGGGGGAACAGATTTTCTATTTCCTGCGCTCATTTGGAAGAAATTTAATCGTCGAAACATAAAAATGAGGGTGTACAGTTTGCACCGACATACTTTCAGATCTGACTTTCATTTATCTCTGGTAAGGGCCAGCCTTTATTAAGCAGATTTTTTTTTTGATAAGTGATCAGTTCTGCGGAAGAAGTCGGGGAGAGGGAAAGGAAGAAGGGTCAGTGGTCAAAGATGTTTTAGGGATCAGAGGTCTCTTTTACAAATGACGAAGATCGAGAATAAATAGACCATCTGAAGCCATCTTTTGAACCGCATTAGCCTCAACAAATGAAGGAATTTATAAATTTCACGTATACTCTACTGGTAAAAGCGCAGCACAAAAGAAGTCGGTGCCCTAGCGGTATATAAGCAAGTGAACAAATAACAAAGATTAACTGGGTTGACTTACTGGTGAGAGTGGTGGAGGACAGGTAAGTCTAGTCGTCTAAGGCTTAGAAATAAACCAGTAATCCGCAAGAAGAAAACAGCCCCCACTAATGGGAGTGCAGGCTGTTTTCTTCATGCCACCCAAAAAAACAAAGAAAATAAAGGAAAGGTTGCTATTCCGAGCGGGAGAGTATTATGATAGTTGACTGCGCCAAATCTTAAGCTCTTGACCTTCCTCTTGAAATTTGCAAACATCACTAATTTAAACAGCAGCTCGCAGAGCGTAAAAATTTATAGTAATTTTAATATATGTTTGCATAGGAGACAAATTGCTTGTTCAAAAATTTTTGGGAGGCGCAAGAGTAAACATGAGTTATTACTTTTTACACCGCAGATCAGTGAACAAAAGTTACAGTGACCACTAGCCTCCATGTTCGAGGAACATTACAAAAGTTTTATGCTTCAAAAAAGTGTAGCTGTCTTCCGCTTTTTCTAAATATAATACTTCTGCAATCCTCCACTTCTGCAGCTTTCCTGTGCAAAAAATTCCGAAGATACAATTTCTAAAGAGGTTACGACAGAACTTCCCCAAAAATACAATTTCTAAATCTAGTGCCTTAAAAAAATTTAGCAAGATAAAATAGTCTGGTTCAGTTTCATTACACCTAGGAAGCGCCAAACTCATTGAGGCAGAATAAAAATTCTAAATAAATACGACTAAAGAAAGAAAAGAAAGGAAAAACTCGACTGAAAAATGCTAGAACAGAACAGTTTTAGAAGAAATGCGGCTTTCTGAAGCTTGGATGAAAGAACACGGCTTGAAGTCATGAATTCTCATTAGACGATCGAACTGAAAACATCTGGACAAACGAATTTCTGCTCAAATCCAGCTGTATTGCACGGAACTTTTGGAGTGTCCTTTCGAAATTTTTATTCTCAAACTGGCCCGTATATGCGGAGAAATAGGCCGCTGAGAGGCATATTGAAACAGTAAGCTTTACTGCTTCATCTGCCATCTCCATAATAAGCTTTTACTATGTCTACTGTTAAGAATTTCAGTTGTTCTAATTTGAATACTTTTTTAAAAAAATCTCATTTTGGACAGCAAAAGCACCAATTCGCTAGCCAGTAGGACGCACAGATGCTTTTTCTACATTAGGAAAGTATGCAGAATTTGCACAGCGGAACTCTGCAGTAAATAGTAGTGCTGTTGTAGGTGCCTGCCTTCCGCTGTTTTTTTCAATCTTTATATCACCTCCAGCTGTTTTTTCAGAAGTTAAACTTTTTTAAGTATTGCTAATAAATTATCAGTTCTATATGAATTCTACAAATACGAGATATTCATAGTATATGTATAAAAAAAACTATATCTTTGTTCGACTCCTAGGTTAATATTTTGGGCAAAAAAGTAGCACTTCACAAGAATCCAGTTAGTAGACCTAAATCCATAAGATTTCAAAGAAACCCACCTAAATTTCACAAATAACGTGGGTTCAGAGGAATTTGGCTTATCTCTACTATGATTAAACTAAATTAAATAAATTAATCTCTACTGTAAACTCGCACATATTTACCGGACAGATTACAATGAAAGCTAGATCATTCACTGATATAGCGGAAGCTTAGCGTCCTCTTTAATGATATCTCTCTCGGCGATAAGAAAAATCCTTTCCTTTACAATTCATTGATTTGTTTTGAGGACAAATTGATAAAGGTATGCCTCCTGCTTCAAAGATAGTAACTGTCTCCAACTTGTTTTTTTATGCCATTACACACGCAAGAAATTACAGTTGGTCGCAAATGAGGGTTTTTTAAAGGCATTTATTGCAAGCTGCATGCCATACGGTTGTCTTAAAAAGTTTACGCGACGGAGAATCGTGGTCTATCAAGCCATATGCATTCCCGTTCAGCACCATAACTGGAACTCCTCAGTACGATGGTGTGGTGTTGATAAAATAATCATATAAAGTAAAATAAATTTTTCAAGAAGAATTTGTTAGAAAGCAAATTGCAAGTTTAAAAAGTAATGAAAAGAAAGAGAGGAAAGAGTATGAACTGAACGAACAGCAAAGAAAAAACTGCGACCTACCAATAAATGATGCTGGAGTAGCTTTTATAAGAAACTTTTAAATTTAAATATACATAAGCAACGCAAGAAGTTTAGATATTTATAAATAAACGTAGTAAAAATTTTTTATAAGCAATAAACCAAATAAAAGCAATAAATTTTTTATAAGCTATAAATATAATATTAGGCCCGTGTGGAAAAACGAATAAAGAAAGCCGTGCACAATCAAATAAATAGCTATTCGCTTCAGGATAGCTGGTGCGATTTTGCGTTTTTGCGCAGTTTCGTGCGCTGCGACAATTCGTGGCTTCAGTTTAATATGTGCTCTCAAACTGGTTATGTCCTCGCTAGTTTTCGAAAATATTTTCTCGTTAATGCTTTCTAACTTTCTTTCTTTTTGGGCCGTATATGGACCAAAAAAATTCTCGTAAACCTGGTTCCTTTAGCAGCTAATTTGAAATTGAGTCACAAAGTTAAAACATACACATCTGCATATTTCCAAAGGCAGTCTCTCGACAATTTATGCATTTTTGCTGTTTAACCAATGATGCAAAAAACGCATAATAATTAAGTAAAAGAATGGAAATGGACCGAAAATAGTCGCCACTTTGTTCTTCTTCGATGGTCATACGACGGCCCAGTCGCGGCGTTTTGCCTGTAGATGGAGAACGCCCAGAATTAATTTCGCCGACATGATCGTTTACCTCTTCCATTTCCTTTCTTCCGTGGTGCTGTATGGACGAGTTGTTCATTTGTTGCTGCTTATGATTCTGGTGTTTCGGAATTGGTTGCTGATTTGATCGCTCCTGTTGTTCTTCCTTCTGCAAGCAATCTCGTAGTTGGATCAGATTTAACATCCACAAACAGCAGGTTTCTGCAAAACAGTAGCTGGAATTACTGCAGTCATCCAGCAGCTGGCTTGCAGTGCACAGAATAACAACATCTGATGTAACGGTTTTTTTTTTTCCAGTAGATGTGCCTGCTACTCATATTCCGCTCACAGATCTAATTGGTTTCACCACAGTTTCATTTTTAGCTACTATGCTAGAAATAGAAAGTGATGCAGTGTGTCAGAATGGTCACCGAATACCAGCGGCTATTCAAGGCCAACAAGCTACTGATCTGTTCAAGAGATAGTTACGGCCGAGAATTAGCGCGGCTCGTACCGACTGAGGCTGAAGTAAATTTGCTTCATCAGCTTATGTTAGCATGATTTTTCTTCTTCCTCTCGCTTCAAAAGGATGGACAGCTTTCCTAAGAGGAGAAGGGGGAATTGTTTATGAACCGATAAATTGGAAAAGAAGCTAGAAATCTGTTACGCATTAAAGACATTATCACTCGTGTCCGTATGTAAATTTTAGACATTTTTTCCCAAATTTCTCCTGAGAAATTTATAACAAAGTTTAAACAAGAACATTTTTTCATCGCAAAAAAAGGTAGCAGGAAGAGTAGGCGTGAAGGAGCAAAGAAATGTCTCTGTAAACGCCAAGGCCTTATCACTTCAAATGTGTGTTGCAGTGTTAATGTGTCAGCAAGATCAAAATTTTTTACGGCAAAAGCAATGTCATTCAATTGTGCTCTTCGTCCATTTTTTGGTCAACAGTGCGAAACAAGAAGATTCATCCTTGACATTCCCTCAACATGTCTCATCATAGGCCATAAACTGACGCACGCCTCTCCTTCACTTCTGATTAAAGTTCAAAAATAGCTACTAGCAAAAAAGCAGTGGTTTCAAAACGGAAGAATAAGTCACAGAAATGAGACAGCCCTTTGACCAGAATGGGGCCAAACGTTTTATCATGTATTCTCTTCGTAGTCCATTGGATGTAAAAATTGCTAATCAGCTTGTCACTTTACCTCTGGACTTAACTGTGGTCCCACTGGTTTCTTAACTCAGTGCTGTCAAGTGTTACAGACCAATACGCTGTTTGGCTGTTCTTCTCCAAAAAGATCTCAAAAAAAGGCAATTTTACTCTTCCTGGCTGCTGAGAGAAAAGTCGGACGTAGCATGGAAAGGGAAAGTAAATCAAAGTTGTTCGTATAACTGACTAAAATACTGGTCGGAGCAAAGGGTCGTTTGAATGTTTCTATCGTTGCAAAACTAATGAGCTGTTGCACACAGAAAATCAGTGAAAATAAAAGACGAAGGAGGGAATTTTAAGTAAACGAGCATATTACGTCATAAATCAAAAAATCCTAAAAAAAAAGCATCTTAAACCTCACATTTGCGCCGAGAAACCTCTCTGTCGCTAGCAGCCCGAGCAATTTTCTCGCACTGAACCAATACAAGAACGAAACGCAGTGCGTCTACCTGGCAGTTCTTGGCATCTGGGGAAGAATATGGTGCTAACAGATCTTAAGTTTTCGATGCTACTGACCTGCTTCTAGCCCAAGGACTTCTATCACTCTTAATAACTCCCGAACTGCCTTTGATGGGTAACCTTCCATCGCAGTTAAAAAAGTTCGTCAGAATCTCAATAGCACAAAAAAAACTTGACTAATTGGAAGAAGTTGATAGGTTGTAGTAGGCAGCAACATAACTTTTGTGTGTTCAAGCGTGAAGAAGCTAACCTTATTCTTAAACAGTCCATACATCCAGGCAATAAACACGAATAAATTACAGTGGACAAGTTGAAATGGAAAGCAGCAGAGCGTTCACAGTGCTTAATCCCGGATGACTTTGCTCGTAGCAAAGTACAACTCAACAACTCAATATCTGCTTATTAAGGCGTCTTTTTTTAAAACTTCTGTCATACATGCAATGACAGCAAATAACAGAATGCCCGCTGTTAGCATTTCTCATTGATTGCATTTGCCGGAAAATATTCCAAATTCTGCGCATCTGCGATCCCACCACTACAGTCCTGTTGGCGGTATTTGTCGATTTTCGTAATAAAGTGTAGAAACAAGAAAATAGGTGAAACATAGAATGTGGATACTGCCGACACTTTTTCAACATCGACTGATAACTCGCCAAAGTCATCATCGGAAGACGACGAAGGACTGCTTTTTAGACTGCTTTTTTACTAAAAGTCAAAGACTCGACTTGGCTGCTAAGGCAGCTACGACCCTCATAGGTGGCCACAGACGTCAGGAAGTCGTCGTTAGTCTGCTTTCCAGCAATCTTCTGACGAGGGACCTATCTACTGAATTCTCTCCTCAGCCCTGACGTGCATGATATCCTTGCTATAACTTTTACTTTTCAAGCTTTTTAATTTTGAACGGAAAGTTGCATGTCTGTCCTCACTGATCAGGTATTTCGCGAAAATTCCACAGCAGGGAGGGAGTTCACATCGTTTTGCGATCAACGCATTACCCACCTGAAAAACTGCTGGCTTCTTCGCACTGTCCAGCCCTGAACTCTTAAATTTGTCCAGCACAGCTATCCACTCTCCAGTAAGGCCTTTGTTGGCTAAGATGTTCATTTCAGCCCCTCGGTTTTGACATCTTCCAGCTTGAGAAAAACGAAACAACCCCAAACAAGCAAGTATTTGAACCGCAGGCTTTTGATAACAACACAGATATCGAATCGTAGGCGGACTACGCATATGGAAGCACGTCAGCATCGCTGTTCCTGATCAAGATCAGCCCTAAATTCTCAAGACCTTTTAAGCACATTTATAATTGCATTTAGCGAGAGCAGTTTAACATTTCCAGGTTGAAGTTGCACATGCGAGTTCAGCCTAGGCATGCTAATTTGCCATATAAAAATGCGGAAGAGTCGCTGGATGAAATTTGTGAAGGACTGAATTCAAAGAGAAAACATGTGACGGTCAAATGGAAATGGGAAGCTGTGAGAGCATTCAGGCTGGAAAGGAGTGATAAAAAAATTGGCTAGAAGACAAAGTGAAGGGTGTACGACGGGAGAACTGATAGAATTAAGAATCGGCAGCGCGACGCAAGCGAAACTTGAAAAGCTTTATTTTTTAGTTAATTCGATGCTCAACAACAAAAGCATAGCGGCAGCGCCAAATATATTTATTCCGCTTCACTTCCTTGGAAATTTGGCTGCCGCTGAAAACACTAAATAAGGAAGAAAGGCTCGGGAGCAGCAATAAAAAATAAGGCTAAAAATCGGTAACGACGAATTTCTATAGAAAAAATCAAATTATGAGTAGTGACTGTTCCTTCACCTCTGCGTTTGCACATTAGCTGATGAAACCAAATTGAATTCAGTTTTTCTAATTTCACAGCGAAATATCCCTCATTCACAGAATTCCTCCTGCTTCGTTGTTAATTACGACCGTTTTTTGGCGTTTTCCATGCTTCCTCCATTCAGTAGTGGGAGAAAAGACAGTTTTTCACTGCGATAAACCTGCGGTAATTCTTTATTATGATGATAAAGAAGGCTTGATTTTGCGCGCCGTTCATCTGTAGACGCATATTATCTATGCAAGGAATGGAACAGCCGCATCGGTCAAAAGGCATCGCGGCTTGTCGCGGATCGGTTCATATAACAGAGTCTAAAAAAAAAATAATGTGGCACTTCGTGCACCACAATTTCCTCGTCACACAAAAGTAAATCAGGTCATGAGTTGAAAAAGCAGGGCACAGTAAAGTCTGAGATGCCTTTCTGGTTTATAATTTTGTATGTAATCGAGAAACTCGAAATTGT